AATTCTCCTGCCTCAGCCTCCTCAGTAGCTGGGATTACAGGCACACGCCACCATGCCTAGCTAATTTTTTTTTGTATTTTTAGTAGAGACGGGGTTTCACCATGTTGACCAGGATGGTCTCCATCTCTTGACCTCGTGATCCACCCGCCTCAGCCTCCCAAAGTGCTGGGATTACAGGCGTGAGCCACCGCGCCCGGCCTGTATTTTTTTTTTTATAGAGAACAGGTTTTGCCATGTTGCCCAGACTGGTATCTAACTACTGGACTCAAGGGATCCACCTGCCTCAGCCTCCCAAATTACTGGGATTACAACTGGGAGCCACCATGCCCAGCCAGGTAGATATTTCAACTTTAACAGAGGGCCAGGCATGGTGGCTCACACCTGTAATCCCAGTACTTTGGGAAGCCGAGGCAGGCGGATCACTTGAGGTCAGGAGTCCAAGACCAGCTTGACCAACATGATGAAACCCCATTCTACTAAAAATACAAAAATTAGCCAGATGTGGTGGCACATGCCTGTAATCCCAGCTACTCTAGAGGCTGAGGAGGGAGGGAGGATCGCCTGAACCCTGGAGGTAGAGGTTGCCGTGAGCCAGGATTGCACCACTGCATTTCAGTCTGAGTGACAAAGTGAGACTCTGTCTCAAAAAAAAAAACCAAAAAACTTAGCAGGGGTAAGGGCGTGCATCTGTAGTCCTAGCTACCCAAGAAGCTGAGGCAGGAGGATTGCTGAGCTCAGGAGTTCAAGGTTGCAGTGAGCCATGGCTACACCACTATACACCAACCTGGGCTACAGAGTCAGACAAAACAACAACAACAGCAACAACAACTGGGTGGGATCTCAAGGACGTTAGTGCAGATAGAGAAGTCCAAGTCTGAGGTTTCAGCTGGACAATACAACTTTAATAGGGGAGTACCCAGCATAAGTGACTAAGAAGAAGGGACTAGCAAGGCTGAAAAAAAACAGAAGAATGATTTTTTTAAAAACCTAAATCAGATCATATCATTTATCTGTTTTTTTGTTTTGTTTTGTTTTGTTTTTTGTTGAGACAGAGTCTCGCTCTTGTTGCCCAGGCTGGAGTGCAATGGCGCAATCTCGGCTCACCACAGCCTCCGCCTCCCAAGTTCAAACAATTCTTCTGCCTCAGCCTCCAGTGTAGCTGGGATTAGAGGCATTCACCACCATGCCTGGCTAATTTTGTATTTTTAGTAAAGACAGGGTTTCTCCATGTTGGTCAGGCTGGTGTCGAATTCCTGACCACAGGAGGAATCAACTCAGAAACAGGCAGACTCTGCATTCTAGTGGCTCAGCAGGGACACTCTGATGCATATGGTTAAGAATTACTGAAACCAGCCAGGCACAGTGGCTCACACCCAATCCCAGCACTTTGGGAGGCCGAGGCAGGCAGATCATGAGGTCAGGAGATCAAGACCACCATGGCTAACACAGTGAAACCCCTTCTCTACTAAAACTACAAAAAATAAGCCAGTATGGTGACATGTGCTTGTAATCCCAGCTCCTCAAGAGGCTGAGGCAGGAGAATCACATGAACCTGGGAGGCAGAGGTTGTAGTGAGCCGAGATTGCACCACTGAACTGCCTGGGCAACAAAGTGAGACTCCATCTTAAAAAAAAAAAAAAGAGGGCCGGGCGCGGTGGCTCAAGCCTGTAATCCTAGCACTTTGGGAGGCCGAGGCGGGTGGATCACGAGGTCAAGAGATCGAGACCATCCTGGTCAACATGGTGAAACCCCGTCTCTACTAAAAAATACAAAA